TTGAACCAAGCCGCAACAAAAGGCTGTGATGCACAATGAGAACTGTTACAGTAGGATTTTTACAGTTGAGTTTATGTTTTTAATTTATAAATAATTTTTTTAAATATTGTTCGGGTATTTGATAATTTTATTTTTTATTTTTTAGGTGTAGTGGTAGAACATTATTGCTATGGTATATTTGTTATACTATAGCTTCCGTAAATTAAAAGAACCAAATTTTCTCAAACCGTGTCCTCTTCCATTGCAAACATAAAGCATTTATGAGTATAACTGCGATTAGCATTTTATACTTTTATACGCAAACCCCGTACGAAGGACGGGTATTCTGCTAGTTATTTATATTGTTATCTTGAATTTCTATAATGGTACAATAAATAAATTTGTCTATTTCTGTCCAGTAAGTAAAAGTAACTTATTATTAAAATCTCGAATCCTTATCGATCTGGACTGACTATGCACATGACTGTACATGGTAACTGATACTTACTACTCTCTATAAACATACATACGTACAATATGTACATACATACATACACAAAACAATATATGACCTTGAAGTTGCATTCAATACCATATTGTCAAACCTTTTTATACGTTTTTAAGTTCATCACACTTCTATCTGATATACAGACTAAAATAAAATAAAAAACTTAATGTTGGATGAATTTATGCATAGTCAAGTTACTTCATAATTTTAACTCAAACAATTTCAACAAACAACGAGGAAAATATACATTTGAAGCCTTCTAAAACCAAATGCCACCTACTAGGAGGTCGGTGCTTTGTTAGTTTGTTACACTAAAGGAAAAAGCAGATCCAATTTGGGTCGAAGTGATCGTTTACACCACTTTCCTTAACGATTGTGTTACTTTTGTCTTCAAACGGTCGTACTCATGTTTAATTGAAGAAGTAAGTCCTGCTGTACAGTAAACATTATGTGTTACAAATACTTTTTAATATAATCTGTAATAAAAAACATTTTGAAAACTAAATACTTTTTTTAAATATTTGTTTTGCACTTAAGGTAAATACAACTTATTTATAACCTTCGTCTATTGTTGAAGTGTTAATTATGGACATACATGAGTTTCGGAATAAAAAACGAGTTTTATTTAACAATAAAATTGTTTACTATTTCAAACTGATAGGATCATCTCATTGCAAACTAGAACATTAATGATGGCCCCATCAACTATAATAGTAGACTTCATTAGAATAACTTCAATGAAAATATTACAGTTACACATCAAAATATGCGTTATTTCTACTTTAGTATCCAACGGTACAGATTAAAAACTCTATGTTGGTTTGAACTATAACAGATTTGACTTTTGGAAATCGAGAAACACTGGTATACATTTTAGGATCAAATAAAAACCACACAAAAAATGTATATAAAATATGTATCCGCAAGCCTAATAGTTTTGTTATAATTTTTTTTTTATGAAATACCGTATTTTATCAACCATAAAAAAGACAATCTTTGATTATTATAAACCTAATCATTAGCTTTCAATAGGCTTACTACAATTTATCGAGACTAATGTTATGTAAGGATGGTACTACAGTTTTAAAAAATATGGATCGTTCTTTTTTAAATTTATTTTCGTTTTAACTTAAGTTTAAAGAAAGTGGTGGTAATGTTCCGGCACTTATAGCCAACAACATTAGCAAGCTCACAATGAAATGGCTTAACGGCTTAAGTTCAACACCTCTTGCGTATTCCAATTTATAGCAGAAACATTCTTTTTATACAAGAGTTTGGATTTGCCCAAATGTAAAAGATTTTTTCTACAAAACAGCTAAAACTGTATTCCGTATATCTATATTTTGTTGCTTTATGATTACAGTTTCAGTTCTCATAATTTGATTGGCCACATGAAAGTAAAGTAAACTTCAATAGCCAGTACAATATAGCACAATGACAGATTTTATATAACTTTTGAACACACGAGGTTCTTAAGAACTTGTTACACAGGTACTTCAGAATATCTGTAAAAAACATAAAAGATACAACACCATTTTTACCAAACATACCGAAAGTGATACTATTTTCATGCTGTAAAAAAATGCTCGTAGCTATGATTTTTACTGTATAATTCTTTTGATGCAGCTGGATGTATTTTCCACAAAATGAACATATTAAGGATCGAATACAAAATGACAATGTCATTGACCTTACATTAATTTATTCTTTAGTTTATGAAAATTACTAATGATGAATCTCTATCATTAGTTCATATAATCTGATAAATTTACTATGATTTATCATTCCAGACTCTGAGCTATCACTCAAATAGTTTTAGTTCTTTTAGACGTGTTTAACAAAGTAGTTAGGCAACTGAAATAAGTTGTTGGGAATGAATAGTTTCCTCTAAGATAAATAAACCCATAACTGATGGGGAAGTTTGTTGGAGCGGTGGTTTAGTTGCTTAGAATCTTTAGTCAGCAAGACTTATGTGAACCGATAAATAATTCACAAGTTTTAATTATCTTCTATGGTAGTAATGACTGTTCAGTGGTTTTACTCGGTGGGACAATAATGTGGGGTACTTAGTCTCTAAAGGCTTAAAACAGGACAATTTCGTCCAAAGGTCCTCATTTGATAAACCCTATACAATGGCACTTCAATCCTAGGTAATAATTGAGGATATAAGACCGAAATCGTCGTTGTAGATTTATAATTAAATTATGATAGTAAAAAAGACATACTAATTAATGTACTTGTTTGTTTGGATAACTATTTTATCCTACCTTCCTTAGGTGCACAGTCTGAATCACGCTATTCATGAAAGGTACAACTTTGCACGGAAGTTCCTGAGTCCTGATTAACAACATTATACACGAGAAATGTATTCAGAGAAGCAAATATATCTACCTGCTGGCTTACATATTCCACAAATAAACGTCATTTTGTTAGAAAATAATAAGTGTTAGCTTGGTAAGTAGTTTTGACTTTTGATAAAAATACAAGCTTACCAACGCTAACATTACAAACTAACGGTATAATTCTGACTTATTTATTATGAACATACTATACGTATTTACAGACTATTAGCATACTATCTCATTTGTCTACATAATTGTCCACTTATAAAATGTAAGGCATTGTAAACTTATGAAACATTAAGGTATAAAATTAGTGAAATGGGAGTTTCACTTTCATTTAAAAAATGGAACCTCATGCTGAATCACACCCCTAACAATCAATGGACGTGCTGACGCATGTCGTCCCTGCATTAGGAGGATCATTAATTTCGTCAGCGTTTGCTGCTTCCATTATTTTACAATAACAAAAAAACTGTTTTTGTGATTTTCATAGAGAAGTAAGGATGTGTTGGTGTCATTGTAAAAACTATGTGGTGGACTGTTATAGGCATGGACAAAAGAATAAATAGTTAAAATAAATAAAAATATGTTGAAACTAAGCTCCTTAGCTTGTGATGCGGTTAGCTTCAGTGGAGTGCTGGGATGTTTCCAGGGGTCTGAAGTCGGTCGTAAAGTGGAAAAAAAAGGAATAGATAGCTCAGATCGATGTGGTTATCCCAATGGGATCGTACAGTTCTAGTATAAACTATTTATCAGTTTATGATACGTTCATCATCGCCATCTAAGAGTTGCTCGGATTTCTCTAGCGGGAGAGGGTACTGCTCGGATTTCTCTAGCAGGACGGGGTACTGCTCGGATTTCTCTAGCAGGAGAGGGTACTGCTCGGATTTCTCTAGCAGGACTGGGTACTGCTCGGATTTCTCTAGCAGGACTAGATACAGCTCGGATTTCTCTAGCAGGAAAAGGTAGGGCTCGGATTTCTCTAGCAGGAGTGGGACTGCTCGGATTTCTCTCGCAGGACTGGGTACTGCTCGGATATCTCTAGCGGGACTGGGTACTGCTTGGATTTCTCTAGCAGGAGAGGGTTTTGCTCGGATTGCTCTAGCAGGATTGGGTACTGCTCGGATTTCTCTAGCAGGACTGGGCACAGCTCGGATTTCTCTAGTAGGAAAAGGTAGGGCTCGGATTTCTCTAGCAGGAGCGGGACTGCTCGGATTTCTCTAGCAGGAAAAGTTAGGGCTCGGATTTCTCTAGCGGGAGCGGGTACTGCTTGGATTTCTCTAGCAGGACTGGGTACTGCTTGGATTTCTCTAGCAGGAGTGGGTACTGCTTGGATTTCTCTAGCAGGAGTGGGTACTGCTTGGATTTCTCTAGCAGGACTGGGTACTGCTCGGATTTCTCTAGCAGGACGGGGTACTGCTAATATTCACCGGACCTTGTATAGTAGGTGATTCGTCGGGTAGTGGGAGCGAGGACCTTCTCGTTCCGATGCCCGTGATCGACTGACTCGTGGGCTCTTCTGTGCCTCCTTATATAGGTTCCGCTCTACTCCTGGCCCACTGTACTCTTGTTCCACTGTACTCTTGTTCCGCTGTACCCTTGATCCGCTGGACTCTATATCCGCTGGATTCGTTATCCGCTGGACTCTTGGTCTATTGTAATCCTGATGGGGCACACTTTGTGGTGAGGGACCTCACAAGCTCTAGAACAAACTACCTATTAACAAGGTCCACTCAACACCAGCATGATATTAAAGCAAGCTAAGATATTAAGTCACTTTTTTGTTAGTCTGTGATATTGGAGATTTAAGACTATATTAAGTAATTAGTTATTCTATCACTATAGCTTAAAATAAATTGAATATCTAAATGTTTCGACGTTAAGTCCTCCGTACTACACTTCCGGAGTTGTTTCATCGTGGTGTCTCGCAGCTTTTTTTGTTGTGAGCTTGTAAACTATTGAACTTTACTGACGAAATAATCACTTAGTACTGTATGATAGTCTAACTTAATTCCAACAGCATTCAAACATAAGACATGGATTATTTAAAATAGTGACACCTCACCTAGCCTCAAAATCGCACAAACTAAGGAGTAAAGATTTTGATACATGTACCAACATTGAGACGACTGACAGGGGTATGTAAACATATGTTGATTTTTCCGTTACAGACAGAACAATTCACCCTGTTGTGGATCCTGTTCATTGCCATTGTGTTGGGAAACACGTCGGTGTTAGCGGCTCTAGTTCTCACAAAAGCTCGAAAGTCTAGGATGAACTTCTTCATTAAACATCTTGCTTTTGCAGGTAACTCTACTATTTGAATTGACTTGTTATCGACTCGTGGGCATGTTAAATAGTGAGTGATATATAGATTTTATTTAAATGATATCTTAGAATTGTTTGTGTTTTGTAAAAAATGGTCAATACAATTTTAAATAAAGTTGGGTTTCAAAATCTACAAATAGTTAAACTATAGCTTTAAAGGGGGAATAATTCCTTTTATTTACAATGTATTATATTGTTTTTATTTTATGGGATAGATAATTTTGACTTGACTTGACTTGAGCTTCTATCTTAATAGCAGGCCTAGTAAGGGGTACCTGTTTTTTCTTCCAAGATTCGACTCTACTTTGACCATGGAAGCCTAATTTTTAAATTTCTAATTTGTTTTTTTTCAATATGAGTATTTATAAAATTTACAAAGATTTAATACTTTTCAGATTTACTAGTTGGACTGATCAGCGTCCTTACAGACATTATTTGGCACATCACCGTGTCCTGGACCGCTGGTAACTTGGCATGTAAAGTTATACGGTTTTTACAGGTAAATTACAACTTATTTTTAAAAAGATTACCATTTTATTTTTCACCGTATGAAAAAAAAAATTAAACTTGAGCAATAATTAACAATAATAAGTCAAATAACAATAATTTATCAAGTCATCATCCAGTTGATTTTAAACTGTCATTGCTTTTGTGTATGACGTTATTAGAGCGATGCAGCTACCACACTTTGAGTAAGAGCGTGTTTCAGTAAAATGAATATTAACATTAAAAAATGTAAGTTGGGTAGTTTATTTCTTGGAGGTATTAAGAATGTTTTCTAAAACATCCATTACATTCTTCATGACAGTGGATGGTAATCCAACAGAAGTCTCAAATATCTTGAATTGTACTCTAATTCAATTTAATATGTACATTTTTTACTGTGAAATAAAAATAAAAATTATATCAAAAGTCGGGGATGTTACTTCAATACCCATACAAATACATTGAAATTGATTGTACTGGTAAATAAATACATTACAGTACAAATATTTTTAAGTTGATACTTTCTTGGAAATTGGTTAATGTGCCCACATTTGAATTCAACTGACCTCTTTTCCAGGCAGTCGTCACATATTCGTCCACCTACGTGCTGGTGGCGTTGTCAGTGGATAGATACGATGCGATCATCCATCCCATGAACTTTTCTGGAAGTTGTAAGTACATTAAAATGAAATATTAAATTGTTAAGGCTTTTAGTCGAGAGTTGACTCAAATACAGACAAATCCATTCTTGTTATACGTATATGGTCCCATCCCTTTTTCGGCTAGGTCTACTGGATGAATATGTACCTACAGTAAAGTTGGCTCCGGAGCACTTGGCCACATGAAGAACACGTATATCGTACAAATCGTGATTGGTAGGATTAGGACCTGTGTCCCTCGGACGGAAATTAAAAAAACAATTCCCACACTCAAGCCGTGCTAAGCTGTTTTTGATCATTTAACACTTTTTGATTACTTGCATTGATTCTAAAGCTCTGTAGAGTCTATAATGTACATGGAACGGCTAAGAAATGTAGAAAAAATTTATGTTACTTAGATACCTTTACAAGTTTATCCATCATTTGGGGTTTGTTGAAAATTAATATTTTGTTCATAATAATTAGCATTATACCTGGGCCTGGGGTCAATGGGCCTACAAATTTTAAGAAGATTCATTCTAGTGAATTTACCAATTTACTAAATGATTGATCCCTGTCAACATTTTTTATGCAATTCCATTTGTACAAATTCCAAAAATCTAATATCATTTAAATATTCAGAGTCTACGTTTTGAAAAATTTAGATTAATACACTCGATGAAATAGTTTTTTGGCGTAGAGATTTGGTAATTTATTGATTTTCTCGAGTTGTTTTAGAAGTCAAAAAACCTAAACACAAACAGATTTTTTTATTTTCATTAAATAAAGGGATAAACTATTGAAACCATCTGGAATCGCTGTTTGTTTCGTCTAAACTTAAATAGATCATTATACCCATTAAAACATAATTAAAGGGCTAATTAACAGACAAACAATACATTCATAGCACATGCTTTGACCAGCAGAGCGGATTTGACAAAGTGGTTATAAAACCCTATTAAACCGTGGAGAGTCCAAATAGTGTTGAGCAACAACATAACACCAATTTATACCTAATAATTTACATTGGTTTCCTTTGTTCCTACAGCTTTCAACAAGTTATGCTCAAACACTGGAAGTTTATATATAATTTGTATTGTAGAAACTTTTATAGTCGAGTTATAATGTGTTTACTGCTTGTTTCAATGTTTTCACTTTAGCAATTCAATGTGTTGTTTAGTTTAAAATATCGCTAAAATCCAGTAGGTATAACCGTATAACCTAGTTATCACATGTGAATTAATTTGTGTTTGATTTGACTTATAGATTCTCATAAACTATCGAAATAATAAGGAAAAGCTTCAAAATTATAGTTTTATAAACCTTTTAATATGCCTGTATAAAAACAGTAATGCTGTTCATTACGAATAAACATGAACAAATACCACTAGGAAATACTTTTCAATACACTTTATACGATACTGTTATTGTTAATTTTACATTTTAATGAAACGAATATTTCTTGCTGATTGACATAAGTAGACATTTTTTTGGAGTGTCGTAATGTTTAAAACTATGTTTGGTAACAATCAATAAATATCTTGAGTTTTGATACCCTTTTGTTTCTAAAAATTACAATAAGTCAATTAATTCTCTAAACTGGCAATGGCTACAAATTTTTCAGTTAACACATTTTTACAAAAATCTCTGGAAAACACAATGAAAACTCAACTAGACTTTACAAAAAATATATATATTCCTGTTTGTCAAACTCAATTGAAAGAAATACTAGGAAAGTAGGTGTCATTAGATTAATTATTAAATAATTGTACTGAACTCAAGAAAGGTTGTTTATTTCTAATTTAACAAAAACTCAATCAAAATATAAAAACAATAACACAAAACATATGTAGAACAATTACCATATGTTATAAACATATTAACTACTACTGTCATCCCTCCTTCACAAGTCAAATTTATTTGGTGTTCTTCTAATCCTTTCCCCTCGTCTTACAACAGAAGCTGAGTCATTGTTATGTTCTTCTGACCTGGACGATTGACCTTTATTCACATCATGGGAGATTCTGAATGACTTGTCTCTTCTTAGGAACCATGAGTTTCTTCGGTATTCTCGTCCATCACCAGTCTGGATTTTGTACGATCGTGGTTCAGGACCAACTTGAACAATCTTTGCTCTCAGCCAACACTTTGGTTTGAATCTGAAAAGCACTGGTTCATCAAGTTTAAACTGATCAGGCTCCGTCTTCCTCATATCACCGTATATCTTCTCTCGCCTTTTAATTTTTTCTAGCTGTTTTGAAACATTCTTTATGACCATCGGAATAAGGTGGTTGGTCGTAGATGGAAGTAGAGTCTTTGTCCTCCTACTCATCAGCCGCTGAACTGGGGAACCTAGGTTACCTCTTGGTGTGTTACGGTGATGAAGAAGTGCAAGATAAATATCGGACTGTTCTTCTTGACGCTTGACAATTAAGTTTTTCCCTTCTTGGACATACCTCTCCGCCAGCCCATTGGATCTTGGAAAATGAGGAGATGAAATTCTATGATTAAATTTCCATTCGGATACGAATTTAGTGAATTCTATAGAAGCAAAACATTCCTCCATCAGTTCTTAGTTCATCTGGAATACCATGAGTTGCAAAGTACTTTTTTAGGTGTGTAATAACAGCAATGCTACTTTTGTTCCTTAGACTTTCACACTCAAAATATCCTGAGTAACTATCAGCAACTACTAAGAAGTCTTTACCTCCACATTCAAAAACGTCAGCACCGATGAACTGCCATGGCCTCACTGGTACTGTTTCTTGAAGGATCAAATCTTGAGGTTTATCTCGTTGATATTTGCTACATACATTGCACCTTGCTACATATTGTTCAATATCTCTTTCCATATTAATCCAATATACATAGTCACGTGCTGTATTAATTGAACTTTGAACATATTTGTGAGGACGGTGAATATTCTGTAACACTTCAAGTTTCATTTCATCAGGTATAATCAAACGGCTTCCTTTAAACAAAAGACCATCATAGCAACTTAGTTCTTCTCTGAAAGTGAAATATTTTACTAATTCCTTGTCAACAGTGCTTCTTTCTTCGGGCCATCCATTCAAGATTATTTCCTTCAATTTAGAAAGCTCTGTGCATTTTCCAACACTAGTTCTGATTCGAGAAACTGTATCAGAAGACATAGGAATTATCAACTGAATATCAAAGCTGTGAGGTTCATCATCTTGATTGTCATTGTAGCAATCTCTACTCAAGGTGTCAGCCAGATGAAGCTCACAACCCCGCTTGTACACAACTCTTGGTCGATATGGTAAGATTTCCAAACACATTCTTTGGATTCTGGGAGGAGCATCAGACAACGGTTTCTTAAAGATAGCCTCTAAAGGCTTATGATCTGACTCAATTATCAACTCCTTGCATCCCCATACATACTCATGAAACCTTTTGCAAGCAGTCAGTATTGCGAATGTCTCTTTTTCAAGTTGACTGTAGTTCTGTTGTGATTGGGTCAATGCTTTGGAATTATAAGCTACAGGCTGCCCAGATTGTAACATAACAGCACCTACTGCATAACTGCTTGAATCCACAGAGAGAGTCACAGGAGAGTTGGGGTCATAGTAACGAAGCACGGGAGTTCTTTGCAGTTTTTGCTTTAACTTGTTAAATGCTTCTCGTTGTGGCGTATCCCAGAACCAAGCCACATTTTTCTCAGTGAGGACTCTAAGAGGTTGAGTATCAACCGAAACATCTGGTATAAACTTTGACAAGTATGTTATACAACCTAAAAATCTCTGAAGCTCAGACAAACATGTGGGTTCCTTCATTCTTGAAATGGCTGTTACTTTGTCAGGATCAGCTTGTAACCCTTGGTCTGAAACTATATGACCAAGAAATTTCACCAACGGTTTGGCAAATATGCACTTTTCTTTGTTAAGTGTAAGTCCTGATTCACTCAGCTTTGTCATTACTTCATTCGTGATCTTTTGCAAGTCTCTTTCATTGTTACTGTGAATGAGTATATCATCCATTGAACACTCTACATTCTTAATTCCTTTGAGCAAGTCTGACATAATATACTGGAACACTTCAGGGGCCGATACCAAACCAAAGGGCATGCGTAAACAAGAGTAGCGCCCCCAAGGTGTTGAAAAAGTTAGTAGTTTGGATGTTCTCTTCGTAACTTTTATCTGCCAGAATCCTTTTTTACAGTCAAGGATGGTGAATAAAGTAGAACCATTCAATCTAGCTGAGATGTCCTCTAAATGTAGCCAATGGGTAATGTCTACGCTTTACATTTTTGTTAAGATCAGTTGGGTCAATGCATAGACGTATTTTGTCTCTTTGTTGGACTATGACCATAGGAGACACACAAGGAGTAGGCTCACTTACCGGAGTAATAATCTTGTCTTTTACCATTTGGTCTAGTTCTGCTTTCACTGCGTCACGTATTGGATGGGGTATTCGCCTGGGTGGGTGTATTTTGAAACTAGGATTTTCCACAAGATCAATATCATACTCAAAAGACTTTAAACACCCTATTCCATCATATAATCCACTTATAGACTGATCAATTATACCAGCAATCCGTTTTACAAACCCTAGGGTTTCACATGATACTCTTCCTAATATTGATTGATGCCCATTTGGAACTATTACAAACAAGACAGTGTCTTTATGAGACTTTTTGGTTACAACTGGACAAATGGCTTCACCCAAAACTGGCGTTTTTTGGTTGTTAAAAGAAACAAGGCATTTAGTTGCAGAAGGTACAATTTTCAGATTACAACCTAGAGCCAAATCATGGGAAATAACATTGCACTGAGCCCCAGTATCTAATTTAAACTGCACAGTTTTGTTATTTGGCAATTCTAATAATTCTGTCCAATCTTGATTCTTGACTGGTTTAGAGATGCAATCAACATGCAACGGATAATCAGAATCTTCATTCTCTACAACCTCTAAAACATCAGTATTTTTACTCTTACTAGGGAGATTCTTTCGAGTTTTACACATCTTAGCAAAATGACCTTTAGTCAAGCATTGATTGCAAGTTCGATTAAAAGCTGGACATTGGCCTCTAGAGTGTTGTAAACCACAACGTTTACAGTCAAAGACTGAATTTTGTAACGTAGGCCTAGAAAAGGAATCGTCCCTTTTAACGACATTAACATTTGTAGGGCTGTCAGAGGCTATTTCTGCTAGTTGTTTCTTAGCTTGTTCATGTGCCCTACACTTACTAATTGCATCATCTAGGGTAAGCTTATCAGTAGAAAGTAGCTTTTCCTTTAAGCTAGAATCTGATATGCCAATAACTATTCTATCTCTTATCAAACTGTTTTTTAGTTGCTCAAAATTACAAGAATTAGCTTGGTTAACCAATTTTGTAAAAAAATCCTCAAAACTTTGATGGGTTTCTTGTGTAATTTTGTTGAACAAAAATCTCTCAAATACTTCATTAGATTTACCAACAAAAAACTTATCAAATCGTTGAACAACTTCATCTAATTCAATATCTTCATCATCCATGAAACCAAAACTGTTATATATATCTATAACATCTGGGCCTAAACTAGACATAAATGATGCTACCTGTACTGCATTGGATTTCCTATCAAGGCCAGAAGCTGTGTAGTACCAGTTCCACTGTTGCTTCCATTTCTTCCAAGAAGGAGCCATCTGAGTACTTGAAACCACAAGACATTTTGGTGGTTTTACATTATTATCTTTGTCTTCTGTATGGTTTGTATGGATATCATCATCTTCCTTAAAGTCATACCTCTTATTTCTATTCCGTGTGGGTTTCGGCACCATGTCATTAGATTAATTATTAAATAATTGTACTGAACTCAAGAAAGGTTGTTTATTTCTAATTTAACAAAAACTCAATCAAAATATAAAAACAATAACACAAAACATATGTAGAACAATTACCATATGTTATAAACATATTAACTACTACTGTCAGTAGGCACTACCTATCTTTTGCTAGTATTTTAGTTTAAATTGATATATACAATAACAATCCTTATGTGTTAATGCAGGATTTATACATTATTTACAAACCCCTTTATTTATAAACGCCAATTTGCAGGGAGACGAGCTCGTATTCTCGTAGCGTGTTCATGGCTCCTGAGCATCTTGTTTTCATCTCCGATTATCATTCTCTACGAAGAGCGAGTGATTCAAGGTAAACAAGTGTATTTTAGTATAAATTATAATTATATTACTTACTTACTTAATTACTTATATTACTCATTAATTACTTTTAAATATCAATTATCTCACAATACTACATTTGCCAGAAGTGAATAATTAAAAAGAATTTAAACTTTGTTTTTGTTGCCCATTTATGAAGAATATTTTATTATGACTTTATACTTATGTAAATTTGATGATGTTTTGGCCTGTAAACACAGCTATATGATATGATATGTAAATATGATAAATGAAAATCTTTATATGGTCTCAAAAATGGACCGTATTGAATTATTTAATTATTTTTGTATATAAAAAGAATCTTCTCACATAGACGTTTTTACGCTATTGAGCTAAGTATAGAGGAATTTAATAGTAAATAGAGTCCATACAAGTTTTTGATTCGGCATTTATATTCTGATACAATAATACTAATTTCTGATACATAATAACGAAAAATAACAATAATTGTATACAGGAAGTAATTTAAATTTCCCTGGTTCCTACAAAATAACAAAAGAAACATGTTTATCTTAAAAAAATAACTAACGCCGTGTGTATATAATTTTTATAATTTTACGTTCTATAATTTTTTGTGTTAATCTATTGAAATGTATGTATGGTTTATATTGTTAAACTTATATCGTCATGCCATAAGTTATACTGTAAACCCGCAGATCCCTTTGTACTGTACATTCACAATTATGTTTCTTTAAATTTTTTTAGATTATCTTTTGCTTAGCTCATCAATGCATGATAATAATGTTCCCTATTGTATTGGCCATTCCATTAAAAGAATAATGAATAAGCAAATAATACCAGCAAATGTTGTAAATATAATTTTGTCCAGGCTTGGTTTCTAAGAGAAACTTAAAAGCCTATAATCTCAGCTAATTTCCGATAGTTATTTAAGAAGTGTTTTGGCTCGATAAACAAGAAGTTTAAAGCCTCCTGAACCAGGATCTTCCTTAACTACTTTTAGGATAGCCTAAAGTTCATAAAGGTAATTTTTCAGTATAAGATACTGATAGCCTAAGTTAATTTCGGTACACAAATGATTCCTAAGCTTAGAAGGTTACCTACACAAATATTGATGAACCTTGAAATTTCTTCTCCGATAAAGTATCAAAATAAAATAAAATCAAACTCAAATTGTATTTTTTTATAAATACATAAATGACAATAAGTAAAATAATGGTATAGAGGTAACAAGTAGATTTTTATAAATGTGTACATTACACATAATTAAAAATTAAGAAAAACTAAATGTTATTTGTTAATATCCATGTTTTTTTTTAGTTTATTGTTTTATTTTACCTTAACGATACATATTTTTTTAGCACATAGCTTGGTATTTTTATTTGTCAGAGAATCAACAATTAAGTAAGGAGATGGTAATTCGATGTTTATTTGCGTTTTACAAAAGTTTCATTTTAATTTACATTCAAGGAAGAACTTTCAAGACTTAACTTACAAACTTTGTCAATCAGTGAAAAACTATGGTGCTCATTTAACAGGTATTTACAAAACAACTCTTTGACAATATTGACATTAATGTAAATTGTACTTTGAAAGGCTTTCACAGTTTTAATGAACTCTTAATTTAAATGACTGAGTTCCTAAAGCTGCATTTATATCATTTTCTGTGAACATGATTGTAGCCCAGGTAATAACACTAAATATAAAATATAACCAAGAGTTCTAATAATTGGAAATTAAATAATCGATTTCCTAATTTTTATAATAATTAATTATCCAGAAAATTTTCTGATTAGCTGAGTACAGTAATTATATAGTGCTCGTCTTCAAATTTAAAGGTCGCTGGTTCGATTCCAAGCGAAATATTTATGGTTACCATACTGAGCCCAGATACCAATTGGAATTGAGCTACCGATCTATGATGCTATCTAAAAAATACCCCCGCCGCAGCAAACCTGCTGACTAAGCGAATTTCCATTTGTCTGAATTGATTTTCAATTAAATATATTTTAATAACATTAGGTTTAATGAGTACCTGGGTTTGCTGCTACAAGGAAACTAATAAAGTGTGTTTTTTAGTAAAATATTGATAGCTTAGTACAAAAAAATAAATTTGCCAAGTTTGATCAAATTATATCCACAAACAAGCAAACTACAACATTTGACAATATTCTCCATATGAATAACATGGAAATTTTAAATTTACAATTTTTTTAATTTTCTCCGTTACTAATAACCGAACAAAAATACTTTTATATACTAAATTATTTGTTTTTTTAAGCTCTTTAAAAAGGCTTAAAGAGAAATTGGGAAATTTTGTGTTTTGAGGGTCAAAAGTGAGAAAAACCAATTTTTACCCCATAAAACCCCCCGTAAAACCCCGTTCCCATGGTCCGATCATGCTGGTTTGCGAACTCATTCAAGTTTATCTTGCCTTACACCTTTAAACCAAATTTCATCAAAATCGGACAAAAATTACTCAAGTTATCGCGTTCACGGACGTATATATATATATATATATAAATCTATATATATATATATATACATATATAAAAATTTGAACGAATAGTGTTTTTGGCCTCTGGGGACATCAAAATGAAAAAGTAAATCGGTCTCGGGCCTAGGTCTTACCTACGGTAATAGCTACCTCCCTATAGGGAAATTCGCTAAAAGTCTGCGATACATAGCAACAAGACCAGGGTTTGGACCACTCCCTTTCAAAACGTTAAAAATGTCATTGGCGTACACGTCAACAAGTTCAAAAATATATAGCATAGAATGAGCAGAAAAAATATTTCACAACTTCACTGCCTTTTTAAGCATTACATTTCCACTTAAATTGGACTAGATTTTTAAGAAGTAATTGGTTGACGATTGATTGAACAGAAACAGATCGCATCCCTAGGTCCAGGCATATTAATAACTTTACGCATCTTGTTGCATGCTTCTTTTATGAGTTGTTTTAGACAAAGTACATAGTTTGGCTAACCTACCTCATAAAATATTAGTAGACCTGAGGAGACTATGGGACAGGATTGTTTGAGAAAAGTCACGCGACTTCCCCCTCCCCTGGCAAAGCCCCACCCCTTACTGATGATGACACCAGCATGGTTCAGAGGGTACATCCTAGAAGCTGTCCATGTGATTTTGCGCTTTTCCAGCATTGCGGTGCCCGGTGGGAATTTTTTATAAAAAAATGGTGACTGTCACCACTGGGATTCAAATTCTGGTTTCCAAGATGGAATGCTCCCATGCTTACCACATGGCCAAGACACTCATGTCTGACTCGCTCATTTGTTGGGTATAATAGCTGAGAGTGGTTCCCGCGCTTTTGCTGTTTGACCACGTGATCCTTTTAGTGGCGGGGAATTCAAACATTATCAAGAAAAAGTCACTCACAGATGGTTCCCGCACTTTTTCCGTTTGACCATGTGGCGGCTTGAATTTCAAATATTGTTACCAACCTAACCACTATTCACTGTATATCTCAATGTCAATGTCATATGCATATGATAGCTTTTCAGTACCAACCAATAATATCATAAATGTTACACTTTCACATATGGTTCTGGGGCTTTTCCGTTTGATGTGGTGGCGGGAATCTCAAAAATCGTTTCTAACTTAACTGTATATCTCAATGTCACATAGTGAAATGTTTTCAATACCAACCAAGATATGTTATCATTGTTACTCTTTTTCAGTAATATGACCAAGACACTCACAGATGGTTTCTGCGCTTTTCTGTTTGATCATGTGATCAATGTGGTGGTGGAAATTTCAAACAATGAAACTAACTACACTGCATTTTCTAAAAGTGTCTCTATTCACTGGTCAGTGTCACTATATAAGTTTCTTTATAGCTAAGTGGAATGGTAAATGAGAGAAAAATGGAACAATCTAAGGTATAATAATCTAATTTAAGAAAAAATATTATACAAAAAATAACTTGGAATTAATCTAGTTATTAAAGAATTTGAATGTTTAGAAGTTTGTCGTCCGCTACTGTTGGCCTCCTATCTAGGCACGTAATACACACAGGTAGATCCCTTTCAGGTGTATCGGGTGGTACAGGAGACGGTGATACGTCAAACCTGTACACCCCTGACCCTCAGCCAGAAAGGCTAAGGCAGATCACTGCTGTTCAGGAGCTCCGACAAAGAAATAGTTTAGGTAGTTCCTAAAGCCCCAGCCAGAATCATCATCCAATCCAACAAGACGTCTATGGCACCCTGTGACTGCCATAGAGGAGCAGCAGCTTCCTCACTCTGAAAAAAGAAGAAAACCAAATATAATATACGTATTTGAAATCCACACACACAAAGAGAGATGTTAATAAGAAGACAGGGTGTGAATCCATAAAACCTACCCGGAAAAGGTCGTCCACACGTCTATCGGTCTGCTATCTGGTAGCAAACAATAGAACTAAACGTTCCCGCCTCGTGGGCGCTGCAATATAGGAACAGCGCAAAATCACATGGACAGCTTCTAGGCTATACCTACTGAACCATGTTCAGTACTTCTGACCCATGTTGGTGACGTCACCAGTAAAAGTGGCGGGGCTTAGCGAGGGGAGGGGGGAAGTCACGTGACTTTTCTCGACCAATCAGAAGGCTGTGACTCCCCTCAGGACTACTACTAATATTCCAGAGGATTTTTTATCATATAAAAGGTCTTAAGTTTAAGGAGCTTCAGAATATGTTTATACCCCCTTCAAAAATCACTAGATAGATCAATCTATTTTCTAATTACTTGTATGATTTCAGGCAGGTTGCAGTGTTGGATTGAGCTGACCAAGCTACAATGGAAGATCTACATGACATTGGTAGCACTGCTTTTGTTTGTGTTGCCAGCCCTGATCATCACAGCATGCTACACCATCATCGTTTACACCATCTGGACCAAGAGTAACATGCTGAGTCCATCTCACCACGCGTCAACGCCACTAAAAAGTGTGTTCTTTATTTAGTTTTTGCGTGTGGGTAATCTCGATTTATTGTACCGGTGAATCTTTTTAATTTTTGGAAACCAAATCATAGGTCACCTCAAAAAAGATGAAAGATTCTTTACACACCTATGTGTTTTAATTTATTCAATATTTTGTGTTTAATGATCATCCTATAAACTAGACTGATTTCGGTTTAAAACCCATTTATCTTAATCGGTAAAACAGTTAACATTTATGTTATGTTTATGTAACTCGAATTTTGCATACGGAACTGCATTTTTACATAGAATGTACACAATTTAAATTCTAATATGTTAAAATGTGTTTTGTTTAGATGGAGACAGAGCAGAAGATGAGTTAAGAAGAGCAAGTTCTCGAGGAATAATTCCGCGAGCGAAAATAAAAACTGTAAAAATGACTTTCGTCATCGTATTTGGTAAGCAACTTTCCAGCTTTGAGCTAATGTGATACAAGCTACTTGATTACCAAAAAACCACTGATTGCGGTTTTAAAGGAATAATTACATATTGTACCTTCCAATACCAGAAACAAACCCATGTTGACTTACTCTTAAGTGTCAGCTGACACGTACTATAAATCTAAATTTATAGTACTTGTTCTATCAGGGCCGGACTTGGGACTTCAGGGGCCCCGGGCAAATTTGCCAATGGGGCCCCCATTATGATTATACGAGAATATACGGTACACAATATAACGCATATTACATGCACACTAATTTTAATTAGGCAATGTAAAGGTGAATTAATATGTAAACCTGTTATAATAATAATAATAATAAATGGTCTTTATTCAGCAAGCGTTTTTCAGATATTTACAATTCTGCTTTACAAAACAACTCTTGTCATTAACCTACTTAAACTATAAATAAAAACAATCTTCCAAACAATCTAAAAACAATATATGAAATGAAATGAAATGAAATGAAATGAAAATGTGCTTTATTGTACAATTTAGAACATAAATACATTTTTTCACAGACACATAAAAACAATGGTTAATAACCGTCTGTTTTGTTGGCACTAGAGTTGTTCCATTACTTAAGATTAGAATAGTAGGCCTATTGAGCACTAAAAAGATTTATTAATATTTCTGAAATAAAGACATAAGAGAAAAGATATAAGAGAGAACAAAATATTATTACATAAGTGATAAAAAACAAAAACATACTGATCCTAACTTATCTGTAGACGAGTTTCATATACAATTATTTAGATTCAAAAGTTAAATTCTGTCACTATCTCCCATCTATACTTCCAAGCATTTTCTAGATAACTAGCTAAAGCTCGCCAATTCCTCCCATTTATAAATTGATGATATTCTATTTCGTTTAAAAAAAGTTTTCCCAGCCACAAATGTATTATGTGTTTTAAAATCGGACAAAGTGCAATAAAATGATAGACTGTTTCATTTTCATTTAGGTTACATAAAGAACATCTATAATTTTGATTGAGCCAAGGCTTGTAGTTCAGGTTGATAAGCTCTAATCTTGCTTTAAGAATCCACGAAATGGTACGAGTATTGTTGAGTTTGAGGGGACTCTTATCTCCAAGTTCAAGGTCGAGCGTGAGTAACTGGCTGTGATGGACGGAGGTGCGCGCTCGACCAACACACTCCCCCCTCCACCTACAACGTAGCCCCTCCGCTACCGACCACAACTGTTCGCTAAGCTCCGCTAAATCATCATTTTTAAAATTAATATTTATATTAAATTGTTGTCCCAGAAGCTTCCATTCTTTACTCCAAAATACATTCCTTGAAATAATTTGTTTAGCTAAAATTTTGGGCAATCTCCCTGCTGGTAACGTTAAACATTTCAATAAATAATTTAGATTTACATTCAAAGTATAAAAGTATAACTTTTCACAGCATGTTTCCAAATATAATGCATAATTTGGTGTGTTAAAAGGTAAAGAGAATAATTTTTTGAGAAATATTTTTTGAACAGATTCTATTTGATCGCTTTCTATACATCCCCACACCTGAGCTCCGTAGCAGATTGTAGCTCGCACTACCGCTTCGAAACAACACATTTTAGAACATAGCGGTACTTTTGGGTTTTTAAATAAAGCACTCCAGACTGAATTAACAGCAAATTGACCTATTCTGGCTTTTTCTTTGAAATGATTACTCCATGAAAGGGAACTTGTGAACGTGATTCCTAAATATTTGTACTCATTTACCACCTCAATAATTTTACCCATATACCACCATTTGTCGCTCGTCTTCAATTTCCCACCATTTCTAAAAACAATAATCTTTGATTTATTTAAATTTACAGTTAAATTCCATGTCCCACAGTAGGTTTCTAAATTTTTTATCATGTGCTGCAGCCCGGTACTAGTTGGAGACAGAAGAATAATGTCATCAGCGTAAAGCAACATATTTATTTTCGATCCACCAAAATGGCATCCACCTCCTACCGCCTCCGGCAGGTCATTGATAAATAAACTGAATAAAGTCGGTGAGAGATTGCAGCCTTGCCTCAGACCTGTGTTAGTTTCGAAACTGTCAGTTACGCCTCCTTCACACCACACACTCGAACTGGTGTTGTTGTAGTAGTTTTTTAATACATTCAGCATGCGCGTCGATAATCCCAAACTTGACAGTTTAAAAAACATTGATTTTCGATCGATTGTATCAAAAGCCGCACTAAAGTCAACAAAAAACGCATAAAGTTTCCCCCCTTTTTGTGATAGACGTAACTTAACCATACAAGCAAGATTAAAAATGTTATCAATGGTGGAGTAACCTTTCCTAAAACCCGCTTGGAATTCCGTTAATATTTCATTTTCTTGAACCCACGTTTGTATTCTATTGTTTATGAGACTTGTGAAAATTTTGGCCACGCTATCAATAAAAGATAATCCACGGTAGTTTTCAACTAAATCGAGGTCTCCTTTTTTGTGTAGAGGGAAAATAATTGAGGTTTTGAAAGATTTTGGAACAATTTCACTTTTTAAAATTTTGTTGTAGATTATTAATAAAATAAACAAAAAATTTTCGGGTGCATTTTTGAAAAATTCATAAGGAATTCTATCTGACCCCGGGGCCTTATCACACTTTAATGTTTTCAAAATATTCTTCAGTTCAGCAAGAGTGAAGTCACTATCTAATCGGCAGTTATCTATAAGCGGTTCCGCATAGCTGATCGCACCTGCTCTGATTGGGGGATTCAATAAATTCCTAAAATGTGTTATCCATCTTTCAGGCGATATTTCTCCCACAACATTACTACCTTTCTTTTTTAATGTGTTTATGGACCGCCAAAAAGATTTACTGTCACATTTCATATTACTTAAATCAAATATAACTTTATCATAATAAGACCTTTTCTTTATAACACACAATGTCTTATAAATATTTGACTGTTTTATATAATCGAGTTTGACTATCTTTGAATTTGTTTTCCTATATAGGTTAAGAAGCCTAAACATTCTTTTTCTTTCAGCTAAGCATTTGTAGTCAAACCATGGCTGCTTATTTCCTACTTTATTTTTTCCTACGACATTGTTTTGTTTGTGTTCAGACGACCTTAAGATACACTCCATTAACTCATTCACATTGTCCTGGTTGTTATTTGAGATTTTAACTTGCACTAAGTTCAGCTTAATACGTTCATTGTAATTTAAACAATCATTGGTGGACCATTTTAATTTAGGTAATAAAGGTAATAGCTTCCCCTCATTCTGTCCCTCTGCACCTGGGCTCACAGCAATTAAACTAACTTCACAAGGGAGATGGTCAGACCCCGGGTATGGCACAACTTTAAAATCACTAACCATGGATAGACAGTTTACAGATACCAATGCATAATCAATAACTGAAGAACCCACTGACCCTATAAACGTGTACTCCCCGTCCTTATCACTTCTGGATCTCCCATTCAAAATAATAAATCCCATGTTGTTCATAACATCTAGAATCTTACGCCCTCTCACATTAACTGTCTTATCTTTTGATCTTCTACCATCTTCAAGGTTTGTTGTTATATGCCCTATCTCTCCACCTGAATATCCCTGTTCTTCCCCAGTTCTCCCGTTTAAATCCCCTAACAGAACCCAATTATCCATTTCATTATTACTAATTAAATTAACTAATTCCTCAAAATCTCGCTCCCAGTGGTTATAATTTAAATATAATGGCAGGAAACAAATTGAATTTTGTGCATTAATGAAACTCGCCTTTACAATATTATAATTATGGACCTTATCAACTTCTAAACAATCAATAAATTTTGACTTTTTATTGATAGCAATGATTTCCCCTCCACTATATCTCCCCACCCTTCCTTCTCTCACTGCTAACTTGAAAAACAAACTAAAATTTGACAATTTATCCGAAACTATATTAATATCAGCTTCTGAAATAAAAGTTTCTAACATAAAAACTAAATCATAACTTCTTAAAAATTCTAAAAAATAATTATCATTGAGCTTGTTTTTAAGTCCACAAACATTATACACACAAGCCCTGAAAAGTCCCTGTGGAATACCTTTTCCCGTTGGATGATAGTCTTGACTCGGCTGGTCGTCCTGGGAAGGATTGGCGTCGCCCTCTCACGCCGCGTCTTGGAGTGAGGATGTCATGGACCCATCTGTGTGATGCGGACCCGTGGATGCTGCGCTTCCGGACGTCCCGTCTTCTACCACCTGCTTAGCTGCCTGTGCATAAGTCTGTGTTGGAGTAGGTGTCTGCGTTTGAGATGGTGCTTCCTTATCAGACTTCCGCTGTGCCAGTTTAGTGAGAAAGTCAGAGAAATCGTGACGAAACAGCTTTTGAAGGGCCATCCCTCCGTTTATTGGCCCGTTTCTCAAACACCCTTCTTCCCATGTGAATCGGTGTCCTTTCACATCGAGATGATCGTGGAATAAAGGCATCTTAAGCTTACCCGCCACTCTTTCAATTTCACTCCGCACTGCTACCAAATGGGATCGTCTGTCTCTAATTTCCCTCGGAAAATCCCGATGAATTATATATCCCGTTCCTCTTAACTTTGTAGTCTGGCCGAGAATGTAGGTTATATCCGTATCTTCTGGTATATGGGCAATGATTGACTTCCCGTCTCTACCCAGGGGATGGGCTCTATTAACCCACACTTTGTCTATTCCTAACACATCCTTGCAGAAGTTTCTTACCACCTCCCTAAAGTCAGCATTTTTCCCATACCACGTCAAACCCTTAAAAATGAGGTTGTTTCTTCTTGATCGGGACTCAAGGTCAATTAACCTTTCACAGTTACTTTTCTCCTGCTTCCTTAGGCTAACAACTTCTTCCCTTAAGATCTCATTTTCGGTGACTAATTCCTGTATTTTTACGTTAATGTTACATACATCATCCTTTGTGGCTAACCTTTGAAGCTTCTCATCCAACTTACTTTCTAACAGTTTGCTCATACCTTCCATTAGTTGTGCTAGG